AAAATAAAAATAAAACCGGATGCTGAAACATCTTCCTCGCTGTCAGACAGCTGGGGAGATTTTATTTTGCTTCTGTTAGCGCCACCTTTGGACAGAGGAACAAGTGCCTACTCAGGGCATTCCTGAACAGCAGTTCCAGAAACAAAGTAAATATTGCTCTAAAAGGTGAATGGCCAATGCCTGCATTTGTGGCCCATCACTGGTGTGTATGTCCAATGAATGACTTAGGAATACTGTACTCCTTATACCCAAAAGTATGTCACTGTGATACCTATTGAGGTGCTGCACTATGACCAATGCAGTGGTTATGGTGCCAGAGAGCCCTGTTAACTCGACCATTGTCGGCTGTCATAGTTTAATTCTTACCTTGAGTTTTATGGACACCACTCTATAAGAAGTGTAGGGAGGGAGAGGTGCCTGGCAGCCCCTAGGTAAGAAGCCAAACCATAATTTTTTTTTTTTTTAATTACTTATAATGGGGTCCCTACATACAATGTGTGGAGAGGTCCAGGGCGCTCCTATCACCATAAACACTACAACGCCCTATGGTACTTGGAGTGTTGCTTTAAAGGACCACTATAGGCACCCAGACCACTTCAGCTTAATGAAGTGGTCTGGGTGCCAGGTCCAGCTAGGCTTAACCCTTTTTTTTTTATAAACATAGCAGTTTCAGAGAAACTGCTATGTTTATATTAGGGTTAATCCAGCCTCTAGTGGCTGTCTCATTGACAGCCGCTAGAGGCGCTTGCGTGCTTCTCACTGTGATTTTCACAGTGAGAAGACGCCAGCGTCCATAGGAAAGCATTGTAAATGCTTTCCTATGGACTGGCTGAACGCGCGCTCGCAGCTCTTGCCGCGCATGCGCATTCAGCCGAAGAGGCGGAGAGGAGCTCCCCACCCGGTGGTGGAGAAAGAGGTAAGTTTAACCCCTTCCTCTCCATCCAGCCCGGCGGGAGGTGGGCCCTGAGGGTGGGGGCACCCTCAGGGCACTATAGTTCCAGGAAAACGAGTATGTTTTCCTGGCACTATAGTGGTCCTTTAAACATACTACCTCTAAACACCTGATGCCTATCACTATTATTTGGTTATATAGAAATAATGCCTGAGAGTGACAATGTGCCTACTGCATGGTTCTTAGGTTGTATGGTCTGAAACTACCATCCCATGGGCCATTTTTAAACACGTAACCTCCTTGTTGCAGTCACTTGGGCTGGTTGTCAGTTGTCCGACTGATATCCATCCTTTATTCCCCTAATGCAGCACCCTTGAAAGGACTGTACATTGTAGATCTGGCACACCTATGTGATGCATTATATATGAAAGAACAAGAATGTAATGAAATGTCCTATCCCTGCTCTCCTTCCACACACTGTGCTCGCGATCCCCAGTGGAGAGTCCTGTCTGTGTGTATGTGTGGGTCTGTGTATGGTGGTAAATGCACGAGATCTGGGGTTAAAAAAAAGTGAATTGTAGGATTAATGCTATGGGTGAGGAGGAGGCTAATGCAGTGGGTGCAAGTTTAATATTGTTTGTTTGTGGTTATTGCTGCATGTTTTAGAGTATATGTCTGGCAATGTGTGTCTTGCAATGTGTGTATCTGAGAGTATAAATATATGTGTGCGTGCTAGGGCCTGGGGTGTGATTATATAAGTGGGTATCTGGGAGTAGGGCTCTGCAAACCTATGAGTGATGATGACTTGACCAGAAGCCCCATGTATTTTGAAGAGACTCCTTCTATACAGATTTGATGTGTTTAAAACAAGAAATAAAAGGATAAATCAATAGTTTTATTTAACATGACTGAATATGAATTTTTTAACTGTCAAAGCAGACAAGCAAGAACATTTAAACAGAAAGACTGAGCAAAAAAATCAGCCTCATTCAAGCAAGCAAAACCCTTCAATTTGTGATTAATTTAAAGCAAGTCAAAAATATAAACATTGTAATGCTTGTTTATTTGTTTAGAACGAGAAGGGAATAGATAAATTATAGTTAAAGAGATAGAGCTTTCTACAATATAAAAATCCATTTATTTATTTGTTTGGATGTATTAAATAAAACAAATTTTATAGACCCTAAATTTTACAACTAAAAGCCTTACTGTTCCAGTCTGTGTACTGATGGTCACCAGAACAACTACAGCTTAATGTCGTTCTGGTGAGTATAATCATTATATGCAGGAATTTTCATGCAAACACTGCCTTTTCAGAGAAAAGGCAGTGTTTACATTGCCCTTATGGACACCTCCAAGTGGCCACTGGAGGTGCTTCCTGGCTCAGTGCTGCACAGTAGGCAGCTCTGCCATAGAGATGCATGATACAATGCATCTCTATGAGGAGGTGCTGATTAGCCAAAACTGCATTTGGCCCCATGGGAAAGCATTGGATTGGCTAAAAATTGGCAATTCTGATGTCACCAAGGGGGCGGGGCCAGTGCTGGCAGACCCTCGTGGCGCTGGAAATAAGGTGAGTTTTTCATGCTTTTGAGAGGGCTAAGGGAGGGGGGGATGAGGGGGGACGGAGCGCAAACCACCTTAATGGTGGTTTTAGCACTAAAGGGGCAGGAATATATGTTTGTTTTCCTCACCCTATAGTGTTCTTTTAACCCCTTAAGGACACATGACATATGTAACATGTCATGATTCCCTTTTATTCCAGAAGTTTGATCCTTAAGGGGTTAAAAAACAAAACCAAAAAGAAAACCAACAACAACATATATCTGTATTGTAAAAACAAAGCAAAAAAAAAACATTTTTACACAGTTTTTCACTAAAATGTAAACTGTCACAGATTCAAACAGGATTATTAACTAAAGAACTACAGGGAAATGAAAGTGATTTCCAAATTTAAGGTCAAAATAGATGAACTGATAACATTCTCCCAGTCAGTTCGACTACTTTGGCATTTAATTTGAAATTCACTAAGAATTTTCACTTTAGTGAATAACCCTGAAAGGAAATTTAATTTAATGTCAGCCATTGCTGTGTAGAAAGGTCCCAAAAAGCGTGTCTGTTCTTAGTGTCAGCAAATTATTCCTTAAAATAAAATGACTGTACTTACACGAACCATTAGAGCGCCTGCTCCCATTCTATCAGGAAAGGTTTGAAAGACTTGATATAGACGGTAACATCAACGAATGTTCAAATCCTCCAGTTGCCTTTGTTTGTGTTTCCTAGCACTTCCAGTATAAGTGTTCCGTCTTAATGAAATGTACAGAAAAAATATCAAAGTCTGTGAAAATAACTTTTCACAAACAATAAGCAATTCATGGGACAAATATGCAGCTATCCCCAAAAGAGTAGCCACATAGCAGGGATTAGCACCATGCAGTGGAAATCTGAGCCACACAGTTGTTTGGGAAGAGTAAAAGAGTCATGTGACAAATCTTACACCCCCACCCCCCCTCCATTAGCATGAAAAAGGAACATTCTCTACAACTGACGGTGTGTACTGCTCCTGTAAAGGAATGTAGCAACATGGCCATACTGCCCCTGTTCCTTGCTTCCTTTGTACAGCAAGTAAATAAATTAATCTACTGTGTTCTTTAATCCTGTTGAAAGATCTAGTGCATTATAACTCAAGACTGTAATTGTTTTAACAATAGGCATCAGCAGCCAGCCAAACAAATCTTTCACACTGCTTTGACAAAGGGACTCTGAAATCAGATGACAACAAATGGGTATTTAATAAATGTTAATGGAGGAAACCCTGACAGTTCTACACATTATCATGACATCATGGAATGAGGTATGAAGCAAATTGATTTCTGGCACTCAAATGATAAATGCTGGTAAATGTGAAATGGAGTTAGGACTCCCAAAGAGATAGTTAGATCTTGTATGACTGCAACGATCAAACTCAAGTTGGTTCTCCATAGAGATTGGTTATCATTTATCTTGGGAATGCACAACCCAGTTATTAAACCTGTCTTTTTGACTGTTTCTTCTTTTGTGCCCTATAATATTTTATCCCTAACATATCATATTCATCAATCTTTCTTTTACTTTCTTGGCCAAAAAAAGTGTTCTGTATCATGTCTCGTTTCTCTGCCACTCTAAATTTAGTGGTCTTTTGTGAAATTAATATTGTTGCTAAGAATGGCAAAGAAAGAAAACGTGACATATTTTAGAACAATTTAATACAAAAATGATAAACCTTTCAGAAGACGTCTGTCTGGCAAAGAAACTCAGTCCGTGTTATACTGACAGGGTTAGGGAGTGTACTTGTGTGATTGTGAGATTAGGTAACAGATCCCGAAGAGTAACCAACCTGACCATGACATGGGAACATAATCCTTGATTAAATATTGTTGGATACGGCTTTCATATGATTTAATATTTTGAGATACATTTTGAAATATTTTAATTTTGTAATATTTCAATATATTTTTTGACATTGTAATATTTAGATTTTTAAAAAAAAAGTATATCCAAATATGTTAAAGCATTTAAAAAGCTTATCCAACAATATTAAATCGAAGCCATAGTTCTCTATAGGGTCCTCATCATAGTCAGAGGATGGCAAGCGCTGGATAATACTGGATAAGAAGGTGGGTGATCGTAACAGGTGCATAGTTCCTGACTTTTGATCCAGATCTGAACTTGCCACAGCGAATGGTCAGTTCTTTATGTCACCAGGAACTACAGCAGCAACCTGGTACCTTATGGCTACTCGACTATCAGCCTGAGCTTCTTCAGTGTTATCACCCAATCATCAGCCAGATACTGGATACAGTGATGAATAGCACTTCCCACGTTGTACCCAAACACTAGACAAGACGGAGTGCAACAGCTAGACAATGATGGTTTACTAAGCAATATACAGTAAATTTATATGGTACAAGTTTTATAAAGATGTGACAAAACATGTAAAACAGTGTGAGGACCTGGTGGGAGACTGCAGTCACACAGTGAGAACCAGAGAGATGGGCACATACATGGGGTGAGCTGAGCAAATGGTTAAGGGGGAAGGAAACAAGTAGGAGACAACAAAGAAAGAGGAGCCTATTGTAACCAGGCTTTTTTGTGGCATTGGCGCAGTAAAGGCTTCTTTCTGGCAACTCGAACATGCAGCTCTTATTTTTAAAAGTATTGTCGTATTGTGCTCCTTGAAACAACCACACCGTCTTTTTCCAGATCAGTCTGTATTTCTCCTGAGGTTACCTGTGGGTTTTTCTTTGTTTCCCGAACAATTATTCTGGCAGTTGTGGCTGAAATCTTTCTTGGTCTACCTGACCTTGGCTTGGTATCAAGAGATCCCCGAATTTTCCACTTCTTAATAAGTGATTGAACAGTAATGACTGGCATTTTCAAGGCTTTGGATATCTTTTATATCCTTTTCCATCTTTATAAAGTTCCATTACCTTGTTACGCAGGTCTTTTGACAGTTCTTTTCTGCTCCCCAAGGCTCAGTATCTAGCCTGCTCAGTGCATCCATGTGAGAGCTAACAAACTCATTGACTATACACAGACCTTTAATTGCCATTTTAACCTGTGTGTGTCACCTTGTGTGTCTGTAACAAGGCCAGACATTCAAGGGTATGTAAACTGTAGTTGCAGAAAGAGCATTCTGGAACTTTTCATTTAAGCCCTTCCGCAGCTGCTGGTTAGATTTTATTTTTTATTATTACTTTATTTATGTTTCATATTTGTGGGTAATTCATGGGTAATTTCAAAGATCACGTGTGTATCCCAGTAACCATCCCAGATTTGTGTTTTCAAAAGTTTCAGTTTTGTACGATTGACTAGTATCACACCACTTATATAGGTGACCACCCTCCCTCGAAGGGGTTGTAGAGGTAAGTTTTACTTACCATAGATACTGTGGTGCACTGGTCCCTCCAATTTCAAAAACTCTATATTTGTATTCTGCCGCATCTCCCACGTACAACAGCAGCCCACATACTAAAAACATATGCCAAGTTTTGGACGTTATATTTACTACAGTATTGGCTGACGTTGCGCAGTCACACCAAGCAGATACAAAACACATACCTCTTCCCTCCAATTCTTCAGAGAACCTGAGCAGTGGCCAACCACACTGTGAACAGGCTAACAGTTACAATATGGCTGTTATCAGCTTAGTAAGCAGTCCCACTCACCAACAACTGGCGATCCATTCTATGGGTGGCTATGACACACACAGACATGGCTAGCTCAGACACATTCTATGGGTGGCTAGGACAGACACAGACATGGCTAGCTCAGATACAGTCTATGGGTGGCTAGGAAAGACACAGACATGGCTAGCTCAGACACATTCTATGGGTGGCTAGGACAGACACAGACATGGCTAGCTCAGACACATTCTATGGGTGGCTAGGACAGACACAGACATGGCTAGCTCAGATACAGTCTATGGGTGGCTAGGACACACACAGACATGGCTAGCTCAGATACAGTCTATGGGTGGCTAGGACAGACACAGACATGGCTAGCTCAGACACATTCTATGGGTGGCTAGGACAGACACAGACATGGCTAGCTCAGATACAGTCTATGGGTGGCTAGGACAGACACAGACATGGCTAGCTCAGATCCATTCTATGGGTGGCTAGGACAGACACGGTGGGAGGGAGGGTCAGGGCATATTTGGCTATCAGCCCATGCTTGCTGTTTCCCAGGGTGCTCATGGAAGGCAGTGCATGCTGCACAGAGCTCATATAAACAGGAAGCACGTGTGGGATCTAGTCAGGTGTGCGACATCCGGGGAACTGCCCCGCGTCTTCACATTTATGGGGGAACTGCCTGTACCTGCGGGAGGGGCGTGCTGTACCTGCGGGGGGAGAGGGGAGGGGCGTGCCGTACCTGCCTGATCCCGGCTCGGTTATCGTTCCGTGTGGTCTGGCTGTAATGGCTCCACGCGCTCAGTCACTCCTAGTGTTTGTAAACATGCGGCACGTGGTCACCACACCCCCCGATTCACAAAGCACAGCACGGCGGGGCAGGGGGACAGGGGCGGGAACCAGCTTGGAGACTGCGCTAATTGCGTTCCAGAGCTCCGGCTGTGCACCGCAGGCAGCCAGGGCTGCTTTATAACAAGGTCATCCTCTGCAACCTGGACTTACACAGCACCGAGTACTGAGCCTGGACCAGGGATTAATGTGCAGAGAGAACATGAACAGACTGATAGCAAACCTCACAGCTGGCCCCCCTTACTATACTAATACCCCCCCATATTATATCCCCCTTACTATACTAATATCCCCCATATTATACTACTATCCCCCATATTATACTAATACCCCCCTTACTATACTAATATCCCCCTTACTATACTAATACCCCCCCTATTATACTAATATCCCCTTTACTGTACTAATATCCCCCCTTACTATACTAATACCCCCTTACTGTACTAAAATCCCCCTTATTATACTTATACCCCCCTTACTGTACTAATACCCCCTTACTACATTAATAGCCCCTTACTGTACTAATACCCCCTTACTATACTAATACCCCCTTACTGTACTAATATCCCCCTTACTGTACTAATATCCCCCCTTACTATACTAATACCCCCTTACTGTACTAAAATCCCCCTTATTATACTAATACCCCCTTACTGCATTAATACCCCCTTACTGTACTAATACCCCCTTACTGTACTAATACCCCTCACTGTACTAACATCCCTCTTACTATACTAATACCCCCTTACTGTACTAATATCCCCCTTACTGTACTAATATCCCCCCTTGCTATACTAATATCCCCCTTACTGTACTAATATCCCCCTTACTATACTTGCTATACTTCGTGTATTGTGGAATACTATAGTGGTATTTTTAAATATAATAATAATACATTATTATTGTTATTATTTGAACACGGTTAAGCTTGTTGCTTGCTCTTTGATAACCCAAATTGGCAATGCCATGAACTTCCCATGCTGTGTCTGTTTTACAGATAAGCTTTATGATGCATGAATGATATAGAATGGAAGAGGCTCAGTGCCAGTTATAGCCACCTGGCATATAATGAGTTTCAACTGCTGCCATCACCAACCTGGTAGGTCCAACTTCCATAGGCTGGCAGCAGTATGATTTGGTATATTCAGGGTTTCAATCCAAGTTCATATTGCTTATATTTGGTAGTCTTCCAAACCTATAATCTGTGGTCAAGCTCATGTGTCAAATGGTAACTGTTCTCATGCATGTGCCTCTTAGCTCCCCATACATTGTGCACCATACTATCACCTATTTTAGAGTCCAACAGAGCTGCTTATTTGGGGAACAGTTACTTTTTGATCATTGCTCTCTGAGTGCAACTTTCTAATATAGTGTTCTAGGTTATTATTGCATAATCATTCTATGCTTCTACCATTGTGTGTATATGCACACTTGTGCATACTTGCATAATGAGTGGGGATTTTAACCTCTCAATGCTGCATGGTTTCCCTAAGAAGACACCAGAGGCAAAGGCGTTTTAGTCCATGTAACAATACTACAATTCATGTAAATACTAACCAGACCAATCCTTCATTGAGATCAAGTTTCAAAAGGGGATATATATATATATATATGTATATATATATACTGTGTGTGTATATGTGTGTGTGTGTGTGTGTGTATGTATGTATTAGTGGGTGCATAAGAGTGCTCTGAGAAAATAAACAGAAATTGTAATATTCATCACACAGAGAACTCTTGATCTCTAGCAGAGAAAAAGCTCTACATGTAGGAACGAAGAATACAACTATGAACTATTTTTTTATTTTTTTTATTGAGCATAATGTTTAATAATATAGTTTAGATTATTACATTTTCTTTACATGTTCATTCTCATAGGTGAACCTTTTGATGTTATCTGTGATCCAATCCTTGTACACAGACACTTTTGTGAAGACAGGAGGCTTTCTCTCCACAAGGCAATCTGATGACCCAAAACTGGCAATGCCATGAACTTCCCATGTGGTGTCTGTTTTACAGATAAGCACTCCTTGTGTGTCACTCTGTAGAGAAAATAAAATATAGGTTTTAAGGTCAATTTGCTTAATTTACTGTTTACAGAGTAGCGAGTAAGCAAATTGAATGCGCAACAGAGTTATAATGGGTAGAAACAAGGTGATAAATGGAATGTTGCAAAGTGTGCTCAGGCTCATGGAGCCAGGCAATGAGTTTACCATACTTTTGTCAAGCACGTTGGCATCAGTGGTTGCTTGTATGTTCAGCTTTCTCTGGATATTGCAGTAAATGGGTTACTCTAAACATTAGACCAGCGTAGCATCATTGCAAAGTTGATGGTTCAGAGCTTATCCTGTACCCACATTTATAAGTCAGCTTGTAACTGCATTTATATTTAACAAATAAAATCACTACAGCTATTAGACTGCTGCCCCAGATATGTCAATCAGGAAGCCAGAACCCTTAATTTTGAATGGACTGTATCAATAATGTAAAAACTGTGCATATGGTGTCCCAAATGCAGCATGCACAGGTATGACTGATTTTATTTTTCTCCTTGACGGAGAGAGCCAAGACGTGCCCATGTGGATTTGGCAGCTTTGTTTATTCCTGCACACGGGTTCAGTTCACTACTCTGTAAACTGAGCGAGATATAAAATTGATCGCAGTGGCGGTATGGCTGTTATCAGTTTATAAAGCAGTTAAACTTATTCTGTGTAATGGGGTTTATTCTTGGTGTTGGGATTGGATGGTATTATGGGATAAGATTGTGCCACGTAAATCAGAATAAGGAGCCTTGGATTGGTGGAGATATTTCCTAATAAGGGAGGCAGACAGTTCATTAACCTGGGCAGTTTAATGCTCTTGGATGGTAAGTATATAGAGATAGATATGAATTGTTTGTAATGCAATACAAAATATGGTGTGATTTTTTTTTTTTTATCCCTTTCCCTTTAGTCGTGTGATACCTCGTCCCATTGTTTTCTCTTGGGCAACTTTCTCAGTAATTAATTTCTAGTTATAGATTCTATATTATATGAAGTCATACTATAAATAGTGTTTCCAAGCTCATGGGGCCAGTCTCACGGCACCTCATGTGGTCTTAGTTACAGCACTTGTGTTCCTTCACCAAAATAGAAAACAAAGTAGTATGGACATACAAAGTATGCCACTTAGAAAATAAATAAAGGGGAGAAGGCACATGGTGCTATGGGCTAGAATATGCTCTCTGTCCTACTACTACAATCGGTTGTGTCTATTTCAGGAACTC